CCCCCCCTCGGCATAATAAATGTACTTTCCCTAATCTAGATCCTTCATAAGATTATTCATTAGTTGTCAGGCATTTACTGTACTGTAAGCTTAGTATATCATTGGTCTTTTTCAAAGTTTTTCAATCTTACTTCAGCAGGGTGTTAGCCAGCATTTCAAAAGTGGCCGTCCAAAATAATTTTGTGGGCGTGGCCACAATTTTTTGTGGGCGTGGTCACATGTTTTTGGGTGTGGCCGCAATTTTTTGTTGTTGTGGAATTGTGGTGTTCTATTCGTTGAACCTTTTTACTTTTAGTTGCACATTTCCGTCATTAAATTAGTAAAAGCACATGTATGGTATGAAACGTAGTGTAGTACAAAGTCGTTGAGAATACCCCTGCCAGGTAGTTATTTTTTATCAATCACGGATATTTTTCCCTTAATTTTTTTATGCGTTTGGCTCATTTTATAGCCATCTTTACCCGGTAACTGTAACTCTAAATCACGTGGCGCTCGAGTGATAAAGCGATTGCTGTTTTTCAAAACAACGGTTTCAAATTATTCTCCTTGGTACTTATGCGAGAATCATCGACATCACAGAATAACTATATGATCTTTATTCTGTGATCAACGGACATTTCGTCAAAATTTTTTTTCTTCAAGATTGGTTTAGAAACAAACTTGGAGTATGGTTAGGTTGGAGTAGGGCTGGGATTATGGTTAGAGTTGGTGTTTGGAATAGGGTTAGTGTTAGTAAAACCGTTGCTTTGTTACGTTTTGTCACTCTGAGGCAAGCGAAATAACCTCTTCCGTGATTCAACATGGTTACCAAAACATGGCGCGTTTGTCGATACTTCAATTCAGCTATATTCAACGTGTTTTCGACGGGGAAAAGTATGAAAACGTATTACCATAAGTAAAGTAAACAGCAGATGACAACAATTCGACTGTATTCAAGAAATATTACAACGCTTGTAAATTGCTATTTGAAAATATTCCCTTAGGCCGTCCATTAAAATTTAGCCGTCCGAATTCAGAAGTGGCCGTCCGTAGGACGGTCGCCTGGCTAACACCCTGCTTCAGCTATTTATACAAGATGCTATACATGACTTCACAAAAGCATTGTTGGAAGCATTGACGGCAAGGCTTATGATATAAGTTATAACGTATTACAATTTAAATCCATGTAATTTCGTAGATATATAGTATAAAGTTCTATTTACAGAAGTACAGAGAGTTTTCAAAAGTTTATTGTGATTTTGGCAGACCTTAAAATATCGGTCAGAGAACGGGTCGGACATATATGTATTGTGTGTCCGATGGATGTCCGTTGACTTTGAGTTCAGTTTGGCTTGGAAATAGTATATGAATGCAGACACAAATTAATATCAGCAGTCAGCACTATTTAGAAAAGTCATTTGAATCTTGGCAATGAATTTCCGAACCCCACGGTGAAACCCCCGCACTTGATTACACATTTCCAGTTCACTTTTTATACATTACTGAATCTGTAGTCCTGAAGGTACATTTTGATTTACGTTGGACAAAGTTACAGTTAAGTAGGACACTGGCAATTCACTTGGGTCGGACAAACAATAAACTTGGGTCGGACAGAATGTCCAGTGGTTTCCTCTCTATGTCGGACAATTTCCGTGACCGACCGATATTTTAAGGTCTGGACTAAGACAAGTGATTTCTTTATCATGCAGAAGGACCGTATATATAAAGGAATGAAAACGCTCTATTCTTCGTGATATGATACAACTGTCATTCTGGCGAATGATAATCAGTCGTGAAACAATCTGCTCCTGTATAGAGCGTTTGCACATGACCTCACAGGCATCAACTATTTCGTTGACCTCAGACTGACATTTCGTCAAAAATTTTTTCTTCAAAATTGGTTTAGAAACGAATTTGGAGTAGGGTTAGGTTAGGGTTAGAGTTGGTGTTTGGAGTAGGGTTAGTGTTCGTAAAACCGTTGCTTTGTTACGTTTTGTCACTCTGAGACCAGCGAAATAATCTCTTCCGACGTCACAGCCGCACCAAAAGACTAGACATTAGACTCTTGTCTGCAACACCAACATGGCCGCCATGGCTCTTGTTGAGTTGGTCCCTGGGGAATGAGAGCAAACGCCTATTTCTCACAATTTGATGATGGTGAAACCAGCGGCGTAACTACTATGGGTTCGGACCGGGCGGACCCCAACCCCAATGGCCCAAATGGGGGCCCTCAGGCTGTATATTTCGATGTTATGTCGTTTTCTGACCATCAGAATTCTGTCAAATCTTCTCTCAAAGTACAGGAAATGGCATTTCAGAGACTCTAGATTTAAAAATTTTCCGCACCTGTGGTGCTTGACTCGTGTCTTTCGTACTCGTACCAGGGGGCCTTCACAAATTTTGAACTCACGGGGGCCCTGAAAATAACGTTACGCCACTGGGTGTATGAAACCTAAAATTTGTGTGATTTTCACAAGTCGCTGTCCTAATAGACAAATTTGGCTAACGTCTGTTTATACCCAATTCACAAGTTTATTGTTCTAGTTTACAGAAGTATACAATAGAACAAAGGTAACTAAGCTTTAGAATTATCTACATGAGTGAATAACTCTTATATGACATAATTCAATGCTTAGTTACTTTAGCCTATTTTATGCTTTTGTAAACTAGAACAATAGTAACTAGACATGTGAGTGATCTAAGGTTCTGCATTGGGTAGCAACGACGTAAACGTTAGCCAAATTTGTCTATGCATGAGAGGAGAGTGTCGTTTATGACTGAAATCGTAATGTGTCATCATGATTTCAAATTGAAAATTATTTAAAAGATTTATCCCGTAAAATTATTATGGCGAAGATCGCATCGCGAATGTCACGTACTGTACGAATTAAATTGTGAAATGTCAGAGATTAATGCCACATTCTCGTCCACTGATGAATAACACGTGCAGAAATTATTTGTCCACTAATTGCGCTGGTATTGGAGGTCACCAAGAGCTATGTATTCGCATTCTTTATCATTATACGTTTAAGCATGGATTAATAAAAATGATCTAATAATCCATGGTTTAAGTGCATTTTTTCCAGGCCAGTCCACCACATGCTGCTGAGATAATGAAGTACAGAATAAGCTGAAATAATAAAAATAAACCATGCCGTTATAATATTTCATAATTTCATTTTTATTTCCCATTTGGGAAGAGTTAAATACTTCTATCGCACTTCATAAAATCAGAGCATCTCTACGTGTGCTCTAACTTGCTGGGTTTCGTAGACTTAACTTATAATTAGGACGTCAAAATAAACTTTGGAGGAGAAAAAAATACTTATACTTACTATAACTACAATTGTGATAATGATAATCATTTTCACATTTTTCCACCACATAACACGAGCCAGGGTTTTGCTGGATTTCTTAAACGTCATTGACTATACAGTATCAAAATATCACGCATAAAATTTGGAATCGTACATTTTGATCTTTGGAGTTTGCGTAGTTTATGGAAGCTTCACATATCGATTTTGTCCATGAGAAACGTCAGTCATATGGACGTTTCTCTGGAGACCCGCCGCCCCTTATAAACGTCACACATATTTTGTTCTTATAGTACACAAAAGGTAATTTTCTACTATTACAAATTATGGAATTACGGTATGGTATTACGAATGTATAGACTGGTGTTTGTATCAAGTTGTTTTCTTTTTTATATTCTGCAAGGATGATTCCGAAATGTTTATAAGGCTTTGGAAAAAACTATAGAATTTTTCCATGATGCTTTATAGAGAAAGTCACAGCTGAACCCCGCCCCACCCCCCAAACGTCCATATGACGTTTCTCGTGGACAAAATCGATATGCGAGGCTTCCTTTACACTTATTAAAACTTGTCTGGCAACCCAATGTTTGCAAATACTTACAGCAGTATTCAGATCTCTCGAACGGTCAATCAGTAGTTCAAGTCGTTCACCTCGTTGGGATATTGTGTCTGGAAATATGATACACGTGAGTAATGAAAGTTGAAATCAGTATACTATAAATGCCTTGTCCGAATTATGAGTCAATACATATCAATCTATAAAAGCTCTGAAACTATCTAAAAATTCGCGTTAATTTAAATAACGTTGAGGATATATGTCGAGGTAATTTGTGTCGTGGTAATTTAATGAATCGTTATAATTTCCTAGAATAAGATAATCACTCTCATCTACACATGTAAGTTCTTTTTTCAAGAAAGTTTTGTGTCAGTGGCAACCTCATCTTAAAGCACTACAGCTATATAAGAATTGGACATTTAGTAAAATAGCCATTTTGCGCTGCCAGTCGGAATAGTTACTATAGAAGCATAACTTTATTTTCTGTATGAAAGCAAAGGGATCAGATAATTAGTTCCCTATTGAGAGTTAATATCGAACCAAATGTCGCCGATTTTGTTTAGTCACTGAGAAATAAAATACGATATAATTTTCAATTAATATAAGTAGGGGTGTACCGGATTTGGAATTTTCAAATCCGGCCGGAACCGGATTTACCGGATTTGGACAAAAATTCCGGCCGGATTTGAGATAAACCGGTAATGGGGACAATTGGGGATAAATCAGTATTCAAAATGGCGGTTTATGTTTTTTACTATTTTTAGCTAGTGTCAGTTAAGATTTTTGATTGTGTTTAAACCTTTTTTAAATATCTTTTTGTTAATAACTTAATTTTTTATAATAATATAAGTGTTTTTTAAACTTTAAAGCTGCCAAATTGATGGTTTATCCCAATCTTGGTGAATTCTTTAAGGTGAAAACAGAAATTTCAATCCGGCCGGATTTTCTCCAAATCCGGCCGGATGCCGGATAATTCGATTTGAAATCCGGTGCACCCCTAAATATAAGCAACAATCTTTATAGGAAGTAAAACTACATGAAAAATATATTAAGCAAAATGCATGGCGACGTTTCGAGCGAAGGCCCTTCGTCGATAAAGATTGCTGCTTGTTCTCATCTCTATACCTACGCTAGCACAGACGGTTCGAAAAAACTGATTATAGCATAAACCGTATACCTATATTTTTCACCATAATGTCTTTAAGTTCATCTATTTCACCTTGCACCCTGACAATGTTGTCATCTTTTCCTCCAGACTCAGAATATCGTTTCTATGATAAATTTGAGAGCATTACCATAGCAAAAAGACAAAATTTCCAAGAACGAGTGCAATTATTATTAACGAGCTTAGTTGAAAGATCTATAACTACCTGAAAATATAGAAATAATTCTTAGGTTGCAAACCACTACATTATTGTTTAAACCACTATATTATTGACAGAGATGGGATTTTTCTTCATGTAAAAGTGCTATAGGTCAAAGACATGCTGTTTCTGTCATTACTACAGTTTTTAGAGCATTGAAATAAAAGAATTACTTTTAAAATGTTGAAATATGCTAGAAAATCTGGAAAGCAAAAAAAAATAATGATACCATTTCGGCAGCTAGAACTCTTGAAAATTCGCTGTTCATTGCATATGGTAAAGCAGTATCAACACGCCCTTGATACGTTCGCTGAAACCTTAAAATAAGAAAGTATAGTACGTCTTTGTGATACAGGCACGTGTTATCACATGTTCAGTTCATGTTAGCTAAGCATGTTCATGGTGTGCCAAATTACGTCAAGCAGAACTTGTTATATATAGCTACGATTAAAGTGACTGAGTGTGTACTTATTTTACCTTTTCTTGATTTCCGTCAAGAATAAGAACGCTTTCGACCGTTCAAAATTCTAAAAGTAAAAACAAATAAGAAATTAAATCCGAAGTGTTATCAACAAACATTAATTAGCCTTTCTCACGCCGCCATTTTTTGGTGGCATTTCAGCCGAAGTCTGCGAGATAAGTCCACATAACAGCGACTTTTTATAATTTTTTTGACAAATGATGGTAAATTTGCTTTGTAAATGGTTAGTTTATTTTGAAAAATTGCTTTTCACATTGTTTTAGTTGTCTGCATTGGTTACATCCTCGTTCCCAGGGCTTCTCGGCTGCCTGCGTTGCAGAGAATTGGATGCCACCCAAAAATGGCGGATATTCGTCATCGTGAGAAAGGCTAAATTAGCCTTTCTCACGCCGCCATTTTTGGGTTACTTTTTTGCCAATTCTGCGAGTGTATACACCACGTAACGGCGACATTTTATAATTTTGTGGGTGTATGATGGTAAATTTTCTCTGTAAATAGTTAGTTTGTTCTGAAATATTGCTTTTCACATTGTTATAATCGTTTACGAAAAATTACAGTGCCTCAAAAATGGCGGCGTGAGAAAGGCTAATTGTTCAATAATCTATTCCCGATGTTTTACGCAATAGGCCTTTGCAAAATACTTTTAGTAAGCCAAAATAATGAGTGACAAAATCCCATGGAGAACAGTGGAATTTTCAAAACAATGAAAAGACAATGCAAATTGTAAAACTCCAATTACCGGACTGGCCATTTTGAAAAAGGTCAATTTTGTAAAATTAAATACAATATATGAATATATCTTTTCCAAGTTATACTTCCTTACGTTTTTTTAGAGACCAGCAGTTCTAAATAAAGGTAACTTGAAAAGATACTATTATACGCCTCCCATCATAAACCAGCTATGAAATCCGTAAATCAGGTATTCAGGTAGGACTTGAATAATTTAGGACTTTATTTATCCTGTTGTCCGATTGTTCAATTGTTATAATTGAAAAATTAATAAAAATTAAAAAAAATAGTGTACATACACGTTTCACTGAAGAATCTACTTACATCATCTGTTATACATAGATAAATTATTCTGTCTTCACAAATATAGTGAAAGAGATAGCTACATGGAAGAAAAATAAAATATATAAATATATATTGAGCGTGGTCAAAATATGACTAATTGCAGAAAGCACACTAAAGGAAAACCAAAACCTGCCTCCCCCCTGGATTTTTTTCTATAAAATGGAATTTTTCTTTGCTTCATACAGTATGCGAAATACTTTCAGAAAAACGTAGGGGCACGTGCGACGTGCCTGTTACCAAATTTCCCTTTGATTCCTTCTTTAAAGATGCGGTACAGTCCGTATGTAAACAAAGCCTTTGTTCACATTTTTGTGTCCAAAACGTTATTCAACAACTATTTATATTTTCATGCTTATAGAGTATAATAAATTATCGAGACACAACAATTGGGCTTTGCAAGAACATAAAAACCTAATAAAATTGTTTATAATGTCATGGCAGGAGGCTCCAATGTACGCATGCGTAGAACGGACTGTACAGCATCTTTAATGATGCTAAACAGAGACTTTCCAATTTATGTCTCACCTTGATTGTGTGTATGTAAGTTTGGCATTTTCAGGAGGAATTCTTCCCAGGATCTGGTGGGAAACTTCTGCAAAATTTCCAGCACAAGATGCATGCTTTGCTAGCACTGTTGTCCCCCGTGCTACCACGGAATAAAACAACGGCATGATGATATCACACTAGAAAACACAAATAATTATATGCAATTGAAACATTTTTAAAATTCCTCGCTGCCCTTTATTCATTGGCACAAGATAAAGTGCTGCCGCATGGAGAATGTATTAATATGTACAGAAACTTCACGAATTTGCTTGGCCCAACATGAAACAATAAATAAAACTTGAGGTTCCCTAACTTCCCCATATAGTATTGATCGCCTTATGTCATGAGCATATGAGCAGCAACTCTGAGTCAACTCATGACAATTTATAAGCACAAAGAATACCCTACTCATATATGCCCGTTGGAATTGTATAAATCAAACAGTCATGCTACATGCAGTTTCTATAGAGCTAGCCCACTGAGAGCCTGCTTCTCAGGCTATATAAGCTCAACAGTCTAAACCTACTCTATCTATCTCCCTGCTCATGCACCTAACTTCTCTAAAATGTTTCCCTCTGTTTATGTTGCTTATCTCTGTCTAAACCTGTTTTACAAAATATGACATGTTTTCGGTCCTCAAAGCTATACCTCAGGCTATCTACTTATATCCGTGTATATATATATATATATATATATATATATATATATATATATATATATATATATATATATATATATATATATATATATATATATATATATATA